TGGTGTGTTTATTTCATTTTGTTGTACTCCATGCATTTTTTACCTTGAGAGTTAGTTAAAACACGATTTATAACCGACTATAAACGTAGCGACACCTTAAAGGACAAAAATTTAAGGACTTGTCTAGCAAACTTAGAAATTTTCTAAGGGACTATGATAAACCCCGAGAATGACATGACAACTTCAACACTTAAACTTAGTGAAATCTAAAACATCACAGAATTTTCTATGAATTTTTTTTAGGAGTCTTTAGTCCCCTTAATTACCAACCCTAATTAAACTGCTAAATAAGGCCCGAGACCTTCTAAAAATTACAATAAATACATAGTAGGCTCAGAAAAATTACCCATTAATAATTCTGAATTTCCAGAAATTTTGACCCTTGACTTTAGAATAAATAGGGCTCCCATAGTTTTGACTTCCAGGTTGACCCCTAATTTAACTATAGTGGAATTTACCATTTTGCCCTGATAGCTCATACAATTATTAAAAATCTCAAATCGTCCTCAATACCACTTGAAATACTTTCTCTAGTCATCCCTGATCTTTGGAGATGATTCAAGTCAGTTTGGAGTTGATTTGGATCAAAACAATAAAAAATGCCATTTATTACGAAAATTTAGAAAACTCAAATAAATAACCCCGATTTTAGAAAATTTATAAACTAATTGTATGAAAAATTTTCAATTAGGAAAACTCACTTGCAATTAAGAATCCATTAGGGCTAGTATTTAGCTAAAAAATCTTAGGATTCCAAAGAATTGAGCCTAATTAGAAATCAAACTTTTTGGTCAAATCCGTAGTCAATTTTAAGCCCGAAACTTAGAAAAATTCCATAGACTTTGCCTAGAAATACTCCAAATTTTAGTGTACTACCCGCTAATTACTCGTAGTTAAGGGTCTAGTATTTCTCTAAGTGGGTAGGAGACCCATAACTAGCCTTTTCTCATAGTGAGCTTTTTGGATCTTAGTCTAAGTTTAGAAGTACCCAGACTTTCCAAAATTGGCAATATAACTAACTTCAAATATGCATCTAAGTTCAAATTGATCAAATATTTTAACTAAAAATGGACTCTAATCATTAATAGATTGGAATTTCAATTAAAATTTCATTTTTAACCTACAACAAAACCTAAAACTTTCAGAGCAATTTTAAACTAACCTACCTAGCTTAGGATGACCTATCCAAACTACACAAGCCATTACAACATCACAATGAGAATGGTATCTGCTAGCCGAGCAACCACTTCTAGACATAGGTTAGGCCGCTGCGTTTTATTTTTCTGCTTGTGCCGGAGCTTTCCGTGGTTTTCATTGCAATGCTGTTTGAAATGCTGGTGTGTTTGCTTACTTTTTCGCACTCTGGATGTGAGCGCGTAGATTACCCCTAAGTTAGGACGCGCCATATAACATATATTATATGTTCTTCCGGGCAGGTGGCCATGCTCAAAACTATAAAGGGGGAGCAATATCATGATTCTAATAATATTTTAATGCAGGCTGCTTGCTCAGCTCCCCTAAATAAAATGAGGGCTAAATTAATAATTATAATTGCAACAGGTGGACTGCTTAACCCTCCATACTAAGAGCATGGCTTTGGCACAGGATCAATGATGTTAGCATTTTTATTTTTATAATAAACTGCTTTGGATTTTTTTAGGATAACCTGCAGGGAGAGAATTTGTCTTTTATAAATGGATGTAAAAATTTGTAAAATAGTTAAGAGTTTATGAAAATAATCTTTGAGTGTGGATATTTCTTATCCCACTTGAATCCCAAAAGAAGAAGGCATCCTCATAGCGGATGAGTCTTCTTCCATTTGGGAGAATCGATGTGGATGGCTTTAGATATCCAAAGAGAAAAGGCAATACCCCCTTCCAAGGGGGAAGTTGTCTCTTCGTTGGATATTCAAGCCACGACGAATCCAAGGAATCCAAGGAGTCTGAGGAGGAGAGTTCCAAGGAGTCCAAGGAGGAATGATCCAAAGAAGACTGAAGACCTGAAGAACCAATATCCCACTCAAAGTTATTTGCGTCTGTCATAGGCTTAGAAATCCGGGTTGTTGGCAGTGGTGCCCTGGCCACTTTATTTTCTGCATATCTGGTTTGTAATAAGGGCAGTTTGCGTATGGACATTTAAGATGATTTATTTTTAGGATTATATTGAATAGCTTTTCCTGGTTGTGTAGTAGAAATACCTGCTTTTTCTATTTCTTTTTTCTTTTCTTGCATGTCGATTTTGTTTTCGCCTGGATTCGTTAGGCTCTTCTAAGACTTATAAACTTTTTATACTCGTAACTAATTTCTAAAAATTAAGTTTAAATAATATAGAAAACTTAACGAACCTAGGGAACTGCCGGAATCGTCCAGGGTCGTATGCAATTACTGCATCTTCTCTCTCTTCTTATAAGAATCTCCCTGCCTGCGGGTAGAGTCCGGATAATCTGGCCTATGAGGATGAAGTGCCGGACCTAGGGAGACTCAGTCTTTTCAAAAAAAATTATTTTTTTAAGCTTTTGTTTAAAGTTCTGTAGCATTCATAGCTGACAATTCAACTAGCATGCATTGCATTAGTATACCAACTAATTAAAATTTAATTGCATTAGCTAGGAGCATCTAACCACCTAGTCCTACGGAATTAGGAAACTCTCTAGATGTCGGTCCTATTTTCAAACAACTGTACCACCCACCCATCTATCATAAATGACTTGACATCATGGTTTTAAAGCGATTAGGTGGTTAGCTGGCTCCCCAATCCAGGCCGGGGTAAGTCCAGGTTTTGCACTGCATTAGCTAGGATACGGGTCTTAGTGTTCGTAGAGCACTAAGCCCAACCTAGATTTAGGATTCGAGGCTACTACATTCGGTCTCGTAGTATGCCTTAAATAGTAGGTAGGTCCCTTCCTTTCGGGGACTATAAATCCTACTTATCCGCGTCGCAGGATGACGCCACCTCCATCCTTCTCTCATGCATGTGATTGATTGCCTGATTTTTCTTTCTCCAGTTTCTCTTTAGTACCCTAGAGCCTCCGAATGCTGGTATGAGCCACGCATGTTGATTCAGCCCTTCGGACCTTTCTTCCTTTTGGATAGGACTTCCTAGTCTATACCCATGTGCCAATCCCACTTTAAGAGAGGATAATGTATAATCCTTAATCGAGAGTTTTCTCGGGCTTCGGCCTGGGATGTAATTAAGCACAGGGGCTTGCGCCCGTGGGAAACTTGGTCCCCATAATCTACTAAACCCCATTCGAGCTCTTGCATCGGGTGGGGGAAACCCGTGACTAGGTCGTGTATATTACTATCCATCGAGGTGTGTTGGCGTCAGCCTCTATCCTCAATAGTTAGTCGTATGCATGATCCAATCTGCCCTTCCAATCGACCCGTTTGCGCGGTGCTCTTTTCGGAGGTCCACAGCACATATACATTGTAACATATAAAATTTCATACAAATGTATATACCTGTATGGGCCTCAGCAAGCATGATGTATGCACACATATGATGTCTGATAATGCTGGACGTGTCAAGAAATGAACCCAAATTCAAGCCCGATTCTTCTACGTGAACATATAGAAGTTAACACGGCTCGAATAGTCAAAGAAATGTACGGACGCAACATCAACCAGAACATATGTTTTATATAATCATATTAGGCATTAAGGGTCAAAAATAAGAGAACTTTACTAATAAAGACATAAAGCTGAGGACAAACCCAAACTTATGTTGAAAATTTGAGAAAGTCGACATGTTCAACCAACAAAATAGAATAGCTCATAAATACCCTAATGATGGTTGTGTTGACAGAAAATCTCAACTAGAGGGGACCTCAAATATTTAAAAATGCCTCTCAAGTTCTTATGGAAATTCACATCATAAATCACCAAAAAGTAAAATCAAGATATTTAAAATGAAGTAAACCACCAAATAATTTAAAGCAAAACTCATCCACCCTACGCAATAATTTGTCGAGGTGGATAGATCCAAAAATTACCTTAGCTCACAAAGAGTAAATGCCTAGTTGAGAAAATCACTTGAATTAATTCTCAAACAATCTCCTATCAGTAATGATGTGACACATGTCCTCTTACAGGTGGTTTTGCAGCCAAATGACACCATTAGGAAACGGTTATGATTGGGTTCCTCTAACCGGGTGGTTTTACTGTGAAATGACACCATTAAATTATGATCATAGTCAAAGCCCATATGCTTCCCAACGATGTTAAATCTTAAATAAATGAATCAATATGATATAACTAATAGGTCACAAAACCCACTATTAGCTAAGATGAATTCAAATTTATCCTCTTAGACAAATATTCACCCGAGGTCTATATGGCACCATTGCACGAAGCAACACATAGCTGCCAACAAGGGTCCTTTTGTCAGGTTGGGTCGATTAACTCCTCTAACTAAGTAGACTAGGGACCATGATGACCTGGGATGATGGAACCATAGGATTTTGATTGGCTCCATCATGACTTCCCCCACCATCCGTTTTAAGCGCAAGATGGTAAAATTTCTAATTTTAAATATTAAGTCTCAAAAACTAAACTCATGCTGCTACTATACACCAGATACCACATATCTCTACGTACATGTTTGACTAGCCTTAAACGAAAGTTCTCTCTCTATCAGGAGGGCTAATTAACAATAAGGGCTTGTTCCTATAAGAAATCTGAACTTAGATCATAAAGTCCTTGCAAAATGAAGGATAAATCTCTGGGTAGTGTTTTATTTCAAACTCAATCTACTTTTTGAAAATTTATCTCGAAACATAGTTTCTTAAAACTCTCCTTACCCTATATCACACATACAAAGAAAAGATATGGTCCATGGAGAAGCCGATGCGCGAATTTTCGAAGCCCACAATAGATGAGTACCAAGTCATTAATATTTCACCACTACTATATTTTTCAACTAGTAGACGTGAGACTAAATTCAATACTCTATTATACAATAACATAATCAAAGAAAGTTTTTATAAGTAATTCAAATCTTACTGCAGGATCAGAGGAAGCTCCAATACAAAGAGCAAAATAAGCATGAGGTTCAGGATGATCAAGTGAATATGGATGCTTGCTATGAATTTTTCTAAACTTCGTTGCTGATGCCAACAGTGAGCGGAAATGCTGCAAATATTAGAAGAATATGTTTAAAAGCAAAGACAGACCTTACTTGGAATTAATTACATTACTTTTATAGTGAAGAATTAGCACTATCTTTTCAAGGTGATGTATTTGTACGGATTATAATATAAACATACCGAAGAGGGGCAGTGCGGATGGCTGCTTCCAAGGATTAAATGTTGAATGATATAAATATTTACTGAACATCCTCCAATATTATATGCTGCCTGACAATAATGAAGATCAAAGCTTAAGAGAAAAAAATAAGGTTATGATCCTGTTTTAAGTGAATTAAACTTGCTTGCTGCTTACTCTATTTATTGAAGAGGTGTTCCTCATTTGATTCTTGTGTAGTCCATAAGCTAGAAAAGCCTGAACAAGAGGTTTATTATATTTTTTGGCATAATGTATTTCAATATATGGATCTGTGTAAAGTTGAAAATCACATACATGCAGCATCAAGGCATTGTGAATGTTCAACCAGAAAGCAAGCTGCTCGTTCTGCTCCATTTTTCTTGGGTCAAAATCCTCTAGTCGTGCAATCAAGGATCTTAAAAATAAGTTTTATCACAGAAGTACAATGATTAGTCATTTAAATGACATTTGAGAAAAAAGTATTTGATGTATTTTATATCCTATCGTTCAAATGTGTAAATTCATTATAAAAAGCATGAATCCTATGTCTACCCAACATATTGTGGCATGAAAAGATAATGTAACGACAAGATTATATGAAGTTGAAAATAATTATATTAGATGATCAATTAGATTATTATTATTATTTTATCAAAGGAACCTTGTATTGGTATCAGAACTGAGTATTCTATCACATTTAAGAGTATGGACAACATAACCAGAGCTAATTGAGTACCTGTAAATTTTTAGCATCTTAAAGGCGAATTCAAATCCGTTGTCATCTATGCAGATCTTTGGAACTTCAATCATATCTTTGTATGGATCATGTTTATGTTTTGGTAACTTGACTTGACAGGGACTTGATGCAGTTTCACACCAAAATTGAGGGCTCCAACTGTTGGAAGGATTTTCAGGAGATAAAATGCTAGAAGAAGTACAGGAAGATGAAGATGAACGTAACAGCTCTATCTGCTTATTTGTGCTACTTGTGAGCTTGCAGTAGACAGATGAAATGCATTTAATGATATCTTCAGAAATCTTCCATACTGTCTCTGGTATGTGATCTTGAATAGTAGTGCCAAAATAGTTGGCAAGAGTGCGATGGCAAGAAAGAGATTTTCTCATTTTCTGTTAATTGTCACAAAGGAATGCGGCTTCGTCAAAGGTTAAATTCGTTTTGATGATAAAAGGAATTAAGTATAAGGACAAATATATATACGGTGATAGAATATAACGTGGTTTTCAGCATACCGTTCTTCGATCAACAACATGGGAATGAAAAGAAATGGAATTTGAGCTTGATGCTGGTTCAAGAGCAGTAGAGCATCTCATATGACTACAGCTGTTGAAACCAATTTCTTTAGCACCAAATTCCATATGGAAAAGATTGACTTCATCATTAGTATGATCAGCTTCAACAGGAGTTGTTGCTTGATACTTAGAGTGGTTGTTAACTTCTTGCACTGTTGAACTTCTGCCATAGCTTGCTGGGGACTTGGAGGAAGAGTTGGTAATACACGGAGTACTAGCAAAATAATTTTTAAATGCAGATCGATATAAAGAAAGAAGGTGGCGTTCCAAATATAAAATTTCTTTCTCAAGAACAGAAATCTCCATCACTAAATCTGAAGTCTTCTGTCAGAAAAAAATATACAAATGATTAATGATTGTCAATTCAAATTCCTGTTTTATTTTTATTATAACACATAATATAATATTGAGTTTTTTGTATCACACTCCCTATGCTTCGGTATAATATGACAAGCAAAAACTAGATAATAATTTACCAATTTTAAAAATAAGAATCAACTCTACAGTTCATGTCATGATTTCTTGAAATCTTATATATTTGTCTGGCTTCTCGAAATTTTTATTTTGCTACTAAGAATTTGTTTTGCAGCTCTCAATTCTCATGCCAGTTTCATTACAAATTCAAACAGTAATATCAGGATTCTACAACAAAATTTAATAATGAAAATATGCTTTAAACAAATTTTAGCTTGCAGGCAATATTCAAATCCTTGTATGTATATCCTGATTAGTTATCATTATTATTAATAAGAAACTAAATGATTATCCTTATTCATATCATTCTAAAATAAATATTCTTTTTCACCAATAGGCCAATTTATACCAAGTTTTATTTCAATAGCGTGGGTTGTGGAACACCATGAGGCCATGTTGTATTAAGATCCAATCCAAAATATTCCTTAAGAACATTAGGAAAACATATTGTAAATTCTATATTATATGCATAGAAACAACCACCTGTATTGGAGTCTCAGTTGATGCCATAGAGTCAGTTCCTGTTTCGGAATTAAAATCACTTTTCATGCCCTGATCCTCTCACTAGCAGGCCTATATGTACAAACAAATATATATTTACAGGATTCTTTGCCGGAAGAAAGAATATTACAATTAAAACGATCAAGAGAATTGGTGAATAAAAATGCGCATGAAGATTTTTCTATGTAGATTATGGCCTCGTTTGGGACAGCTTTCTTTCTGCTTCTTAAAGCAGCTTTCTAGTACCAAAAATAAAATTTTTGTACTAGAATGCCGCTTTACAAAGTAATAAGAAAGCCGTTCCAAATGAAGCCTAATTCAACGAAAGGACGCTATGAAATTGCTTAAGTGAAGCTCCGTGGAAAAAACTGCTTCATTGAGTGATTGCAGGAAAACAGAAAACACTGAAATGAAATGGCCCTAGTTTTGCATGTGATGTTCTAACTAATCATTTACTTAAAATAAGAGAACAAAAGAAGACCCATAATTTAAATAATAAATAGCTGTTCGATTAGACATCAGAGTTCTTCGATGGTACAATCATTTTTGCAATGAATGGATACGAATGAGAAACTACAACAAACAAAAGTATCCGAGGCAAAATAGGTCCCTCTCAATCTTGTATAATTGGCTTCCAATGCCATTCTATGTAATAGCATAATTTGATGCAATTCATCAATTATTGAAGTAATGAAAAAAATTATACTTCATTGTCAATAAAACCGTAGTAAGTTAATTTATGATATGTTTAAACAAAATGGCTAACTCACATGTTTAAAAAAATGTGTGATATCTCGAATCTATATACCAGCATATATATATATATATATATATACAGAGAGAGAGAGAGAGAGAGAGAGAGAGAGAGAGAGAGTGGTTACAAGCTTTACTTGCAAGCACAGATTCTAACATAATGTTAAAAAATTTATTGTAGAGAATGCGGAAGGCTATGGAAGAAGAAACCTGCCAGAGAAGATAACCTGGGCCAGGCATATATTTCTTTAATCATCTAGATGCCTAAACAACAGATGTAAAGATGTTCAATGCAAAGCTTTCTCATACTATGCTTTTTTGTTTTTAACCCCTTTAACATAAGTAAAAGCTAAGATTCCAATGGAAAAGAAGAATAGGCATTGAAACATCAATAGTAATAGAATTGAAGTGCTAAAATGTCCGAACACGTGGTATTTCTTTTACCAAATCACTACATAGTCAATTAAATCTCCTAAAAAATGTTTTTTAAGTTAATCTATTATTAGATCAGCCCTAAAACTCAGAAAGAAATAAATGGCTGATAGTTAGAATACTTTAATCAAGTTGATGTAGAAATCAATTATGATTTTGGCCATTAAAATTTTATATTTACAGGAGCAAACTTTTACGCAGGAATCAACCTCTGTGATTAGGTAATACATTTTAACTTACGAAAAATTCAACAACTACTCCAACTGTTCTTGAAAAAAAAAAAAAAAACAACTGTACAACCGGAGATGGCCAAATTTAGTGAACATCTGCCGATTTCATCATTATTTGGCAACTTATATACTTCAATAAAAGAATAGATTAGGGAACACAAGAAATTTATCAAACTATGAACTAAAACATATATCAAAAAAGAAAAAAAACTTAACTACACTACAGATATCAGAAAGATGCCGCTCGAATAGAAAGCATTGGTGTGGCATAAATATTGTACAATTTCATCATATTTTGGTCTAAGAAGCAAATTTTGAAGATTATTGATAGAGAAACAGAAGTTTACCTAAATAATCTCAATTCTGATCATCATTGTGTGTGTGTGTGTGTGTGTGTGAGAGAGAGAGAGAGAGAGAGAGAGAGAGAGCGAGAGAGAGAGAGAGAGAGAGAGAGAGAGAGAGGGGGGGGGAGAGAGGGAGAGAGAGAGAGAGAGAGGAGGGAGGGAAGCGGAAAGGGGATAGACAGATAGAGAGTGAGACAGAGAGAGGTGACTACACAAAATTTGGGGTATTTGAAGAAGAGAACAAAGGTCAGGCAAGAACAAACTGCAGAAGGCGATGGATGAGTTTGTGAGATAGAGAAATTGCAATTAATTCTCAGAGACAGCCTAGATCCTCAAATTAACAGTGACCGACAACTCAGAAATTGGCAATGAGCAATAAATGAAAATTTTCTGAAAAATAAATGCTGAATCCCAACAATCAACCCTCCCTCTTTAAGGAACAAAAACATTGCAGTAGATGATAAGCAGTAGAGATGGAGCAGGTATCTCTGCTATGGCCATCACTGATGTGTATCAATTCCATCGATATTCCGGCAAATTAAACTCATTAAGAAAATCTGCAACTTACTCTGGTCTAATACTTAAATTCCTGTCTTCTGATTCTTCTTCGTGGAAATAAGAGGCGCCAAATTTAGTTTAGTGCAGATTGGATCTGTCATGATTATATATGGTATCATTAGAAAGTTCCTGCATTTATAAACATGTGGTACAATCATTTCCATTTATTTATTGCAAATGAATGATGAAGTAATTTTGGTCTTACCAAGCGCTTCCTTGGCGGTTTTGTTTGGCATTGACAACATTTTTGGAGGTCATGAATATATATATATATATATATATTCACAAACACACCTTGCTTTGTTAGCTGGGTGCTTAGCCTATCAACTAAGTGGTCCTAGGTTCAAGTCTTTTGTATGATATGCATGTGTGAATGTCATAATTGGCCTGTCAAAAATAAGGGCTGTAATTTCTACTCTTATGCAACTGATTATTTGCTTTTTAATTTAGTTAAGTTTAATTATGCATCATATGCCTCAATTTATTTTTGGAAAATCCCTTTAAGGGTTCATATGATTGTTTTTAGATGAAAATCAATATTTGATATTTTACTTCGCATTTATTTTGTTTGAATAAATAACATTCTTAATATTAAAGAGTTTTCCAAAAGTTAAAATTTTAGCAGATTTCTTATCACAGTTATTATGATTATCATAAGTAATATCATTTTAATATATATTTCTAATTTACAAGAATCAAATAAGCATTTGAATTTTTCTTTTCTTTCTTCTCTTTTAACATCTAAGCCATCCATCGGTTATATATTTGTAACATGCTCATACTCGACTTACTGATTAATCTGGTCATTTTGTTCTTCAAGTGAGTTGAAATTAAACAAAAAATTTAAAGGGCTAGTTCCATTTGTTTGTCGGCTCAAGTCACAAATTTTGTGATTTTCAATATTTGGAAAAGGAGAGCCGAAATAGCACAGTGCTATCTTGTATGCATCTTTGTGACTTCAAATTATGAGTTGTTATGTAATACCAATATATGATATAAGACACAAGATAGAAGATACAACATAGGAAGTCATACGGGGACAAGATAAGCCAATAGGAAACATTGATGATTTTTACAAGATAGCCATGTGACACCCGACCCTTAATATTAATGCAAGATATAAGAAAAATGCAATTTAACTAACTGGATGTCTTGCCTTGCCATTTAAATTGTATCCATATGTGCATATGCATGTACATAAGAACAGATGAATTTATTGATAGACAAAATTGGTAAAACCAACATTAAGATTGATATAACATGGCATAGCGTGTGACATAGACATTAATATATATTGATAGACATATTGATATAGTATACTAGTATGACATATTGATATGACACACAGATATATTATAAAATGGTTGATAGAAATAGACGATGGAATCATTGGCATGAATATAATTAGTAGATAATCAACTTATGTTTTGTTGTATAGAACTAGACATTATATTATAGATGTTTATTAATTTTCTTATATGTTGACATATTCCAATATTTTGTGATAGACTTTCCGTCTACTGATCATGTCTATTCTCATAGTGATTTCATAGGTTTTTTAGTTTATATAATGATGATTACTAGCTTGATAATTATTGAGATGATCATACATATTGATTCCCAAAGTCTTGTATTGAAAGTATTTATAGTTTTAGTTGCCTACTGTGCTTTGTAAGCTCATTATATATATTTAATTTAAGATTTATGAAAGAGGTAGGACCATGTAGAGTGAGGCTTATTAGTAATTCCACATTTTACTTTGTTATGTATTTCATTTTATACTTTTATAGTTAGGAGCTGAAAGATAGATCAATGTATTCAATGATTTCCTAGCAACTATAATAACATTTTGAAAGAATAAATATGTAATTATATTTTGAAGCATATGACTTATAGTGAATTTTGCTAAATAAAAAATTAATGAATAAATAGTAGCTCTAGTAATAATTAAGAAGATTACAAAGATAAATTTCTTTCAATTTAGATTTGTTAATTAAATTATGTGTATGTATGTTGAATCTTTATAGTTGATTAATTTAAGAGAGAATTATATCAATTGATTGGTAGATCCCATTGACAAAGATGTACATATTGAATAAAGTATAATTTTGGCTCTAGTGTCTTCTGACAGCATGTTACGGCTTACCTATATGGTTGCCAATATTATAAGTTAAACTCAAGGTAGATAATAAAGGATTATGGATAACGATGAAGATAGGCACCTGCAGATGTTTCATAAATTATAGTTTCCATTATTTAATGGATTTGTAGAACCCCAAATAATAAAACACTAATTTATGAGAATAGAGAAAATATTTGATAGTATGCAGTGCCCAAAAAGTAGGAAAGTGCCACAAGAAATCTTCTTGTTTGAAGGAGAAGCAAAAACATGGTCAATTGGACAAAGAAAGACAAATTTCAAGGAAATATTTCTCCCATATTAAGTGGGAAGAGTTTCTTAGTACATTCAATGATATATTTGTGCCCATGTCAGCAAGATAGAAAGTGCAAGAAGCCTTTATGATTTTAGAGCATGGTAAAAAGATAGTGATTTGTAATGAATGTAAGTTTATAGCTTTAGCAAGATATGCCTATCAATAAATTAGTATTGTTAAAGAAAATTTTTATCAAATTTTGCATCGATTTTGAGATGAGTTAAGATATCTATTAGTGTCCGTGAGGATTAGAGAATTTTTAGAGCTAGTGGAGAGATCAAGGATGGTGGAGTATGATCTGGCAATTCTTCTATTTAAGCAAGACATGGTTAGTAAAAAGAAGACTTTTAGATTTAGTGAATATCAAATATGATCCATGGTATAGTTTGAAAGTAATATAGAGTGTTTTCATTATGGAAGTAAAACCATGTTAATGTTTTTTTCTTTTTAATAGGAGAGTGTTTCCAATGTGGGCAATATGGACATAGAATTAAAGATTTCCCTTAGATCTTGAAGGATAAAGGCGGTTTCTTGAGTAAAATAGTCCATGCAAAGCAATAGATAAAGAACAATCACATCTGGAGGATATAACGAGGGATTTATGGGTAGTACAAATGAAAGAGGAGAGAGAAACTTAAAAAGAGCCCACGCACATTATTATGTACACACTATCACCAGTATGACCTAAAGTGCATATTCTAATTCAACACGATGATAGGGATTTGGTAAAGACTAAATCACATGTGTGTGTAATTCCAAAAAGATCACAACGATTCCCTGGCTCCTGTTCTGAGGCAATTTCTGGGCGATTTTAGGGCTCCTCTCCGTGCGCTCATTTCTGGTCATCCTAGCTTGGATTTTTTTGTGGTTTCATTTAATTTTTGTTGTTCTTCTTAACTAGATCTCTATCATGTTTTGAGTTTATTGTTCTCTTTGTTTTTCCAAGCGGGATGATGACGACCCCATCGTCATCGAACCCAATTTCTTCCTCTAGTTTTGAGGGGAAAACGCAGTCTTTAAAAGTGGCTCTCTCTGGATCTTCATAATCGACTCTGAGATTTAAGTTTGTTCAATCATCTTTTAAGGTCTATCCGGCTCTGCCTTTTGAGGATTCGGTGGTGGATCAACTGGCTGCTCCTTATGCATTAACTTTGGTTGGTAAATTTGTCTTGAGAAGGCCTAATCTTGATGTCATTCAAAAGTTTTTTTATTAATATTAAGCTCTCTGGCTCATTTCATGTGGGTTTACTTGATCAAAGGCATGTTACAATTCAACTGGCCAATGACCTTAACTATAGTCAGATTTTTGCTAGAAGAACCTATTATATTCAATCTTGTTAAATGCGATTATTGAAATAGACTCTGAATTTTGACGTTAGGGAGGAATCTCCTATTGCTCCGGTTTGGATATCGTTTCCTAATTTGTGTTTGCATTTTTTTAACCATCAAATTCTATTTGGTATAGCTTCTATCTTTGACTGTCCCTTACAGACAAACCAAGCCACTACTTCGATTTCGAGGCCATCAGTTGCTAGGGTGTTAGTTAAATTGGATGTTTCTAAGAAACATTCTAATGAAATTTGGATTGGATTTGAAGTCAAAGGCTATTTCCAAAAAATTAAGTTTGAGAATATACCTATCTTTTTCTCTTTCAGTAAAAAGCATGGACATGCTTTAAACGAATGTTTTCGAAAACATCCTCACCTGTATTCTGATAATAATTCTTTGAAACAATCTAATGGAGATAAAGTTACTATTACTAACCCTACTGTTCCAATGAATGAGCCTCATCTTAATTTGATACCTGTGGTGGATAATACCTCTAGTCATTCCCCTCTGAGTGAGAACCCGTTGGTGGGATCTGAGAAAGAATCTCAACCTGTTATTTTAAATGATTCTCTCAATGTACCTCAAGAACTGGAAGTTGTTCTTTTAAATGCTTCTTCTACTAATTGCAAATATTTTTTATCATACTTTACATAATGTTAAAAATTCTTTTTCTTGCATTGTGAACCACAATATAACTGATGCTAGTGATATTATGGTTTCTAATCATGTAATTGTTCAGGAATCCATGAAGGTTACTAATGTTGATGATCTTGGTTGTTACTGAAGGTGAGAAGAACGACATGGCTTTAGAGAATGGAGAAACTGTGTCCATGGATCATCGTTAAATACCTTCCACTTGTTTTAAAGAATAGGCCATGAAGGCGACAAATAATTGGGAGGATGATGGTAGGTTTATGGAGGACGAGTTTCTTAATTTACACAAGGATCAATCAAATGATAGTAAGACTCCTTCAACTTCTAATTATAATAGTGATGCTTTTACAGATTCTGAAAAAATGCATATTGCTACTAAATGTTTTGTCAAGGATGATAATGATACTAGTCTTATTAAATTTCATAGTAAAAGAGGCCGAAAGACAAAGCATATCTCTTTACATCCACCTAGAAACACTTCTTAAAATACTCGTTCGAATACTTCTCATTAATATTTATGTATGTTTAGTACTATTATCTGGAATGTTAGGGGCATTGGTTG